ATTACTTTTGCTGATTTTCTTATGAATTACCGTAAAGTCCTTTTGATAAGAAAATGATTGCTCGATAGCGCCGGAAGTATGACTCGGAAAACCTGTCCAAAAGTGTGACTGATATCAAGACGCCGCCTAAGAGTAGAGATATCGATATATAGACTTTTCGGACCATTAGGTCATCGTAGAAGCCGTAGTAAAGCCATGAGATTTGAGCCATATTTAGCACCAAAGCGATACCCAGGTAATCAAGTCTATGATTATAGTCATAGTATGTGTACATAAGATAATGATGGACTGATTTAGCAATTTTATCATTTAATACTTAGAAAATATCTTAATAACACTCCTTGAATGGCATTGAAATGTGTGAAACAGAGTGGACATCACCAGACAATTGACACAAAGACCAAACATGCCATTCATGACAAGTGTGTCATCGGCGGTGTAGCTCTTATTCCTTTGACAGCCTATCGTGTGATACCATTGAATAGAAAAGAGTAGAGCGCCGGCCATATGAGTGAATATATTTCCCGATTCGTTGTGTAATACAAATAGCGAGCGAATACAGTATAGGATGGAGGGGTTGGGAGCTCTGTAGCCACTTATGATGTACCGGTTATCGCCATACCATCGAGGAATGGAATCGAAGTTTATGAGTCTCATTCAATAAGACCTATATCTCTATGTTTTATATGCTATTTAAATTGGATATCGATTTTATTCTAGTTTTATGTGTACTTTAAAAGAGCATTTCATGAAGAATTTCTGTTTTATTTGAATTCTGTTTTGCATTTTTAATTCATGAATCGCGAGACTCTAATGAAGTTTTACATGATATTGTAGTATAAATATAATATAACAAAAAATAACAAAATATTCTTGAAAAATGCACTTCATTTTGTATGCCTGTTTCAAAACTCTATTCAAAAGTTATTTTGCAAAAAATCTATAAAAATAATTAATGTGTTTATGAGATATATAATATACTGTATAATAGCATTTTTATTACAACATATTATGAATAATAGAGAACATTAATGAATGTGAAAGCAATTTCATTGTGAATATTATTAGACTTTAATTGAATTAGCGGTCGATTCCGAGTAATTGAGTCTCACTTCGGCTATTAATGACAGGCTGTGGTAGTATACAAGTCCCGCGCCTACACTCGCGATATGAAACAATTGGTGCGATTGAAACCATATATTAAATAATCCCGGTGCTAATCTCTCGGGTATTTTAATCATATAGAGAACCGCTCCCGTGATATATAATGCTCCCATTATTGGCAATAGGAAGATCCCTTTAAAAGCTAACTGTGCGGGTATGGGATCATTGATTTGTATGTGACGGCAAAAGTGTATGAACGGAGCGATGCCTACATGTTCAGGGAAAATGTAATTCAATTTGAGATTTAATTATATAAAAGTTATGAAATAGTATAGAAAGTCAGGGCTAACCGCACAGTCCTATTAGTATGAATACCGCGCCTCTAATGACAATGTATTCGGGGTTTGAGAATCTGTCCATTAATGAGATGATTATACCGCCGGTGCCTAACACTAGCGTAAGGCTAATGTAGATAATCTTTGGCAGTACTGTGTCATAGAAGCCATAGTAAACCCACGGTATGTTTGATGAGGTAATCAATAAAGTTATGCCACAGTAATCGAGTCTATGAAACGTGTCGTTCAATACACACCATAAAAGTTAGATTAAAGTTTAGGTTTAAGTTAAACTCAAAAAATATTTAAATATTTTGTCAATTAATAAATACTTAGCAAACAATTTGAACGTTTCTCTCGAGTGACACTGGAATGTGTGAAACATTGCGGACATGGCCTGACATGTAAGGGTTGCCGTAAAGAATAAGCTAAACATGAACTTATCGTTAGCCTCGAAATTCTTGTATTCATTACAACTCATGGTGTGTATGAATAGTGTGCAGAATAGCAGGAATCCCACGGCGTGTGTGTATATATTGCCGCTTTCATTGTGTAAGTAAAACATCGATTTGAGACATTGTTTGTAGGATTTATTGACCGGTCGATAGCCATTAGTGATGAAATCATTGTGACCGTACCAGTCGGGCAGACTATTCACGTCTAATAGATTCATGTTATCATTAATACTGCCACTGAAATGCTTATCATTGAGTCAGTTATTGGCAAATAAATTAAATTGGCTTTCGTATCGCTCGCACTCATAATTGTGTGCCATTATTACTGGAGATTATTATTTTTGCTTTTTGTTTAATTTCTCATTTTCGTAATTAGTTATCTCTGATCAATATATTCATTCATTTATTCAGTTTATGTGGACTCGTATGTAGATTTGGCAATTTTTGTTGTTGCCAATGAATATTCGCTGCAATTTATAAGTAGGCAAATATTTGCTTACAATTACAGTACGGCTCAAATAGTAATTATTTTAGTTTTTTGTACAATTTCATAATTATATTCAAATAAAACACTCGAATAAACATTAAAATAGTATTTATTCAACAAAATTTAATGCATTTTTTAAATTGAAATTTTGTTTTCAAAAATAACAAACTTATTAAATAGTCGTGTAGTTTACAAAAAACAAGAGTTGATAATCATTGTCAAACGTTAACATATTTGCAACAAAATTAATTCAACAAAATCTATTAAAATTTATACCTAAATGAATTAGGCTAAATCTCATAGGCTCTCAGCTCCTGTACTCTCTCGATATAATTACAATTAATTTAAACCTAACGCTAATATCGTATATAAATAAAATATTTATTCAATTTATTTCAAACTCACATTCAAAATATATTATATGTAACACGTGTTATTATTAATTAGTAATTGATTTATATTTTAATCGCATTATCGTCCGCACTGTCATTCAGTCTTAAGAAAGGCCAGGTCGTTGTTGTGGTGGTGCCGCTGATTGAGCCGGGCCTCGGCCATCAGCGACATGCTGTGAAAGTAGGTGAGCCCGGCCACGATCACCAGCGTGTGGAATATCTGGTGCGAGTTGAACCACAGGTCGAACCGGCCCGGGCACAGACACTCCGGTATTTTATACATGTAGCACAGGGCGCCGATTATATACAGAGTTCCCATCAGTATTAACATTAGTATCGATTTGAACGCTAACTGTGCCGCTGTTGGTCCGAACGTATAGAGTTGACAGTAGAGGTGAAAGCACGGGAATATAGCTATGATTATTGGCAAACCATAAGAAACAATATGTCAGTAACGAGACAATAATGACAGGGTTTTTGTATAAGGGGAACGGTATGCGAGATTTACCCGAACAGCCATTCAGTAGGAAAATGCACGAACGGATCTTCCGGAGCTCGGGTTCACTGAATTTCTCGAACAGCGATATCACGAAACAGGCCATACATAAGAGTACCGTCGAGGACAGGTAGAGGTTGCGCTGAGTGGGCAGGTAGTAGAAGCCGTAGTAGATCCAGGGCACGAATGAGGCCGCAATCAGCAGTGTTATGCCACAGTAGTCCAGCCTAAAGGGACAGGGGGTTCACAATTATGAGTCTAGTTTAAGTTATAGTTATATAAATGGGGAACTGGTGGTCATACTTAGCGAACAGTTTGAGCACTCGTCGGGAATGGCACCGGAATGTGTGGAATAGAGTCGATATCAACAGACAGATGATGATCCCGAAGAAGAAGGCACCGAATATTAGTTTATCGATGAGACCGAAGTTCTGGTAGATATTGCCACTCATGGACCGGTACCACAAGAACGCGAACAGTAGGGAACCGATGAGATGAGTGAATATATTTCCGGATTCGTTGTGGAAATTCAAGACCGAAGACTTGAT